AGGCGCAGTAGATGGATCGAACCGCTGCAGCTGTCTCAACTGCTCAAGCGATAAGCCAGCTCCCATCATACCTTCTCCTCCAATCTGTGGCTCCTTTTGGGAGAAAAACAAATATGGATGAATGTTGCCCTGTAGTTATCAGTTACACTAAAAGATAAACTGAAAGCTGGGTGTGGTAGCATACTCCTGTAATCCCAGCACTCTGAAGGCTGAAGCAGGAAGACTACTCTGAGGAGTTCATGGCCAGCCCAAACTAGACAGCAAGACCTTGTCTCAAAAAACAAAGCAAAAAAAGACAAATTGGATTATACCTATTGCATCTTCCAAAATAGAAAACTGTGTAAACGCTGTTACTTTCACGGAACGTACATGCTGTTTTTGAGTAGCAGAGCAGAAATGCAGTTCTGCGTGGCCACCCAATGAAAGATGGAAGACCTTTTACGTCCTATGCTACTGGGTGACATTATAAAAGCTTGAGCTGCATAGCTAGAAACACATGGATTCAAACTGTAGCCCTGTCAAATTTTAGCTGTGTGATCTTCAATAAGTAATTTTTATCTAAACTCATCTTTTAAAAATCTACAAAACAGGGGCTGGGGATTTGGCTCAGCAGAAGAATGCTTGCCTGGCAAGCTGAAAGTCTTGGGTTCAGGCCTCAGCACCCAAACCAGGAAAATAAAACTCTCTTAAAATCTATAAAACAGATAAAATGCTCAGTTCTGAAATTTAAACAGATGATATCATGCCTGGTATACACTTGGGAATCCAATGAATGGAACATAATTCACTATAAAGCAACAGATAAAAGTCAGCCTTTCTTAGCACACATCAAACTTCTGAAAAAAGTTCTTTAAACATTGAAAATGCCTCTCCCTGACCCTTGCCAACAGGATGATAAAAAGTTATTTTCATTTGGTGTTATGTGCCCTTCGAGAACAACTATCAGAAAAGGATGGGGCCAGGGAGATGGCTCAGTAGAATAAGCGCTTTCCTGGCAAGCACAAGGGTCTGAGTTCAAGCCCCTGTTCCACCAAAAAAAAAAAAAAAAAAAAAAAAAAAAAAGCATAAATTAAGGCTGTGTCAATTAGCTTTGAATAATATAGAATCCAAACAAATTCAGTCATACCTGCAAACCACTACTGTAAAGTCAACATTCATAGCCACATATTTATATATTAATAAAGATAGGTTTCCAGATATAGAAAACAGTTTGATAAGCCATGGGGTGAAGAAAAGATATTTCTTTCAGGTATGAATTCTAAGTGAATGTGAAGTCTTCCTTCATCTATCACTTTTGAATCTAGAAATCACTTCTGAATTTATTTATGTATTCTAATTACATACTAGAATTCTGCATAGAAAGGTACTGAGTTGGAAAATCAATATCTGAATGAACATTAAGCATTATTATAGACACAAACTTTATTATGGGTTAAAACAGAATAATAGTCTTAAAATTGTAACAAAATTAGATTAGTCCTAAGTAAAAGAAAGCTTCTTAAATGTTAGCTCTTTATATAACAAATTATAAAGAAGCAATAACCCTGATCTTTCCGGCCCTCTGGTGTTTTGATATTCTAGTTAGTGAAGTATGTTTGGGCTTTGAAGTGATCTAAGAAATAATGCTCGATATTTTACCACTGGAGAAAAATATGGGACTAGAAAAGAGGAAAAATGACTTTAAAAACAAGTGCCAAGATCCATGAACACAAAAATAAAAATAATAATAATAAAACATTCAAATTCCGCTTTCCCATGGCCAGATCTAAAAGGAGACACATTCTTGTTTACTATGGTATTTATTTGAGAAGTTTTACTTCACATATTATCACGTAACACTCAATGTACACAACCACATTTCTGTTTCTGTGATTTGTCAAACTGCACAGAGAAAACCTGAAAGCACTCTTACCTGGGGCTGCAGCTGAAGGCAAGGAAATGTGCTGAGGGCCCAGGCAACCTGCTCTTCGTTTTCTGCCAGGGTTATAGTACACGTGCTATAAACCAGCATGCCTCCCGGCTTGAGCAGCTGGACTGCCTAGAGAGAACTGTGTCAGTCATGTACAACAAGGCCAAGTAGGTAAAGGGACTGACTTTACAGCATAACATATGACACCTTACAAGGATATGAGAGAAATAAAATGATGTTTGCTATGTCAAGTAATTAGAGCACAATACTTGCATCCCAGACTATCTGCATTTCCTTGCCTCAGAACTCTTGTACTCCACATGGATCAGGATTTTCAAATACAATAGTTTCATAATTCAGATACTAATCTTATTTCAAGAATTAACAAATTTATACTGCTAGGCCAAACCTCCTCTCTGAATTCCATACTCATATCCAGCTGTCTCAACATTTCATGTTCCCAAATCAGCTGCTGTCTTCCTGAAGCCTACCACAGAAGTCTATTCATCCTTTCAAGATGGTCAGGCGCCAAGCCTCAGATTCAACTTCACACCTCTCTTTTTCACATTCATTGTGCATCAGCAAATCCTATAGGTTCTACCTTCAAAATAGCCAGAACTAAATTAATCAAACCAAAAAAAAAAAAAAAAAAAATAGCCAGAACTTGGCTACTTCTCACAACTTCCACTATCGTTGTGGTGGGACCCTCTTTACTTCTTAGAATACTCAGTGTCCTACTTGGTTTTCCTGCTTCCTTCCTGCTCTCCCACCGCTTGCTGTCCACACAACAGCTTCTGCAACTGTTGTCTCTCAGCTTCTGCACCTGTTGTCTCTCAGCCACACACCTTCCAGTACAACCCAGAAAGCCCTGCACAGACAAGTCTCTTCTTGCCTTCTGACTTCCTCTACAGCAGCTCTTGTTCTTTTCACTTTGCTTTAGAGCCACTGGCCTCCTGCTGTCTCTGCCTCCCAGCAAGGAACAATCCTGCCTCAGGATCTTTGAACCAGACTAGAACTCTCTTGTAATTCTCTGCACTCTTACTCCTGCACAATTGTGTCTTTACTCCTATGTCACCTTTACCACAATATTCCTGCTAAGCCCTTTGTAACATCCCTAATATTCCAGTCCAGCAGTACTATCACACTTTTCTTTCTTTGTTTTATAGGATTACTGCCTTGTAATAGTCTAAATACCTTGTTTGTTTACTCTCCCCTGACAAATCTAGACAGAAAATCCAGAAAATGAAGGCACTGAGTGTTTGTCTGCTTTTTTACTACTCCACTATGGGCATCTATCATAGCACAATGTCTTGTATACAGCAGGCACTCAGTATTTATCAAGCAAGTAAATGAACCAGGAAATATGATGCTAAACTAAATGAATTCATTTCAAATACCTAATGCTTGGGCTGTGAGATAGCTCAGTGGCTTAAGCACCTGCCTGGCAAGGCGCTTAAGTTTGATCCCCAGTACCAAAAAAACAAAATAAATCAAAACAAAAATTATTCAAATACCTAGTGTTCATCACTTAAATTCCATGATTTCATTTTTAAATGTTTTCATTTTTAAAATTCTAAGCTCAGCAGACTAAACACTTGCTTAGGTAAACACAGGGGCCAAGGTTTGATCCCTGGCACCTCATGCTGTGCTGACCCTGCCCCCGGGTGCACTGAGCCAGGGATGGGTCAGGGCATGGTGGCACACACCTGAAATTCCAGCACTAGGCAGGCAGAACACAGGAGGATCACCACAGTCTGAGATGCATAGTGAGACCCTGTGCACACGCACACGCGCGCACACACACACACACACACACAAAATTTTAATACACATATTTGTGTTTTCTACACACCCTAGAAAATTTTAAACTCTGTTATTATGTGCCAGCTATTCGATTAAGTATTTTTCATGGATATTCTCTCATAACAACCATGAGGTAAGGTTACTGCTTCCAGTGAAGCTCCTACTAGGCGAGCTGTTATCCTCATGTCTCTGATTTGGAAATCAGTGGCACTAAAATTGTTTATGTGAGGAAGCCATGCCTCTAATGAGATGTGTCCAGCTATACAGTCCACATTCCCAGTTCATTTGCAGTAATCCAGTGGCATACCCACTACACTCAAGTTCTGTATCACAGGTCAGATGCTTTTTATTGAAATCATAAATCTATCTCTAGCAGCTTTAAAAATTTCCTTTTCTGCTATGACCTAAAAAGGACAAGAAACAAAGTCCCTTAAAGTAGGCTCTTAGTTTTACTCTCGTCAAAGTGACTTGCAGCTGTAAAACTTCCTGTTTGCTGCTTTAACAAAAGATGTATTCTCTGACTGCTACAGATAAAGGAGCTGAATAATCCCCAAGGAATGGCTATTTTTGTGAATGGAAAGGAGAGGCACAGAAATATACTCAAGGGCAACTTTAGAGAAAGAATAATTACAGTAATCCATTGCAGCTCTACTCTATGTATTTATAAACAAACAGCTGAGAAGTAATAAATTCATCTTTGATCAAAGGCTGTCTACACTTGGTGAAATCCAGAGCCATATTTTGCAAGACTTACAGAATCCAACTGTTTTATTTGGGTTTCTTCTGATATACACTGGGAATCAGTTAATTGTGTGAAGTTTTTACGGCTCCTTTACATCTACACTGCATACTGTTACTTCCTGCTCTCCTCAATGTGTATGCATCTAACAGACTTCGCACACTTAATACACTTGGCTGACCCAGGAACCCAATACAGAAAAGTTAATTTTATATGAATTCTTTATATCAATTAGTAACTACATCAATCTTTTTAAGACAGACCACAATGTTTGAAATTCATTAAATAACTCAATGAAGAAATTCTACCATTACTGTGTGTTTGAAAGGGTAAGTTACTGGACATGGGTCCACCTACCTGTAATCTTGTCACTCTGGGAAGCTGAGGCAGGCAAATTGCAAATTCAAACCCAGCCTGCATAACTTAAGTGACTTAATGTGACTCTGTCTCAAAATTACAAATTTACAAATTGCTGGGGATGTAACCAGTTCAGGTGAAGGCCCTAAGCTTAATTGCCAGTACTAAAAAGTATATAAATAAAAACCCAGAAAAGGTAAGTTGACATAGAGGAAAGCTCCCTGTTTTTAAAATTAGGCATTCTCAGTCTTCTGTGCATAGTAAAATACACATAACATAAAACTCATTGTTTTAATCATTTTTAAGTGTATAATTTAAAAGGCATTTAAGTATATTGTACAACCATCACTGCTATGTGTCTCCAGAACTTTTTCATCATCTCAAATGGAAACTCTGCACCACATCACTAACCCCCTCATCTCCCACTCCTTATCCCTCACTCCCTGGTGACCTCTAGTTTACTTTCTATGAATTTTCCATTCTAGGGGCCTTATACAAGTGGAATCATACAACATTTTTTCCTTTTGACAGGCTTATTTTACTTAGTATAATACTTCAAGATTTATCCATAGTGAAGCCTATGTTAGGATTTCACCCCTTTTTAAGGCTGAGTAACTTTCTACGTATGGATATGTTTATCTTTATGCATTTATCTGTTAATGAACTGCTGGGTTGTTTCCACCTTTTGACTACAGTGGAATGAACATTGCTCCCACTGACTTAAACTTCAACCTACCCAAGTGAATGTCCTTCACAGAAAAAGATTATCACATACCACGGAAAGGAGTTTTCGCTGCAGCGGTTGATATGATGTCACTTCCTTCAAAGTCCAAGTACAAGCCATATTTGGTCTCTGTCCCATTCCACTGCAAGGTGCATCAAGGAGAACTCGGTCAAAAGATTCTGGTGTGAATGGAGGTGCCCCTATACAAAGAATTATAAAAATATTTGCCATGTATCATATTGGTCTAGAATAAAAAACTCTAGGTAAAAACAATGACCAGGCACTTAAGAGTGATTCAGTGAGACACTGTCTCAAAATAAGTAACAATAAAAGGGCTGGAGATGCAACAGTGGAAAGGCTCTGGGTTCCTCCCCAACACTACCAAAACCAAAAATAAATAAAAGTATATTATTTGAGATAAAAAATAGTATTTCCCTTTGATTGGTAAAGTTAATAGTGACTTATATTTAATATAGATTTGACAGGGTTTAATTTTTTTTTTTTAATGAGACAGACTCTCACTATATATATAGCTCAGGCTGGCCTTGATTTCACTATGTAGCCCAAGCTGGCCTCAAACTCACAGCAATCCTCCTGCCTCATCCTTCTAGGTGCTGAGATCACAGGCATTTGCTACCACCCTAGGCATAAAACTACGGTTATTACTATTAGGGTTTTTTTTTTTTTTTAAATATAGTATAAACCTAGACCCAATCAAATGAGATCTTATGCACCCTACATTAGAAACCCTAGTTCAGCAGAGCGAAGACTGAGAATTAACTCTAATTATTCTGCAAATGGACTTCCTTGTAAATTTCTACTGCAGAGAGCTCCAGAGAAAGTCTGCTCAGCTACAGTATTTACATTGGTGCTTGTTCTATTGTTCCTTGGTCTCGCTGTTGCTGTCACCATCACCTTGGTTGTGGACTAGAATGAGCCCAGATCTAGTCTTTCACAAGGAACTGTGAATTCACTGAAATACTTTTTGCAATTATTCCACCTGCAAACTAATCCAATTTCTGATGTGAGAAGTCATGAAACAAAATGGTCCGTACATACCTTCATGTCATCCCCCACGCGACACACTTTTTAAAGCTACTTGATTCCCCAGAACCCATAACACTGTTCCAGACTTCACCCTAATATTATCTTCTGCTTTTATCTGATGGCAAAGCTATTAGATAAAAGCAATTATTAACCTAACTCAGCTTCTTCTGTAACCATTTTTGCTCTCTTACCTATTATCATAGAAGAAACTCCCAAGAAATTATTTTTTGGACATATACTGGAAAAGTCCTCTAGAAATAACTGTATCAATTTACCCTTAAATTATGATTGTATTTGTTTCCCCCAAATCTTCATCAAATCTGGATTTTATTTTATTGGCTAGTTGTGTTTTTTGTCTGTATATAGGTGCATTCCCTGTCTACCCTATTTCTATTACAATTATTAGAAGAAAAAAAATACGTTGAAAAGGGTAGGAGGGACAATTTTATGTTACTCATATCACCTCTCTTTCAACTCCAAGTAGCACAGAATACAGAGAAAAATCCTCTGGTTGGAGGAAGGAAATGAAAAGTGATTGATAGGATTTTATCCCAAATCCCAGTATCAGCCCCATCCTAATAAAACCAAATACAGGCAGGACCCCACAGGCCACCTTCCAGGCCAGTCCATGTAGTCTCACACTCCCAGCATGCTCCAGCAGACCACAAAGCTGAGTACTTCCCAGCAGATTCCAATGCTGTGCTGCCCTCATCAGGTACAGCCCAAGGCTTGAGGATCCAGGTTCCAGTTTGGCTCCTGTGGCCCCAGGACACACAACCTTGATGGACCAGGCCAGAAACTGTATAACCAGAGTGTGGACCAGACTTTATGGAATTGGACTCCAGATCAGTCCCTACAGCACCAGAGTCTAAGGTAGTAACACTACTTTCTAGTACAAGACGGACACTTATGATTGCAGATGTCAAACTTATCCCTACAAACCAGAATCTGTGTCTGCTCCTGTACCAAGTCCACTTTAGGGGACCCAGGATCCAGGATGCTAGGCAGGATCCCCATAGGGGGACACTCTAAGACAGCGATGGCGAACCTTTTAGAGACTAAGTACCAAGTTGCAACCCAAAACCCACACATCTATTGCCAAGTTCTAACACTCCAATTAAACCTGAATACTAAGGTTTTAGTTTACAAAAAACAACTCTTATACTCAGCTTGCCTGATGACTGAGGGTTCTGCATGACCACTGTGGAATGTATACCATAGATTCCTCATGAGTCTTCTAAGAACACCAATATCAACTCAATCTTCAGGCCAACCTCTAGGGATCTACTACCCAAACCCCCAACTAAAGATGCAGGCCCAACCTGTTGACAGATTAGTCCCTGTGGATTCAGGAACCAAGATTATTTCAGCACCTGGCTATCGCCCATAGACTACAGTCATCCTACACTATATCTTCAGGCAAGCCCAGGTGCTTATAGGCTCTACACCCACTGCTATACATCTGACAAGAAGGTCCATCTCAGGGGAACCAATCTGTACTCAGGCTTAACCAAGGTATCAGGTCACCCTGTCCAACAATTCCAGCAGTGAAATAGCTCACAAACAATGCAATTTGGGTTTTCCAAAATGGGCAGATGAGCTAGAAGGCATTCCTACAAAAATATCTGCAAAGACCATCCATCCCTGCTTCTTGAAAGATGCAAACACAAATTCATGGTTATAAGAACTAAGAACAAATGGAGCAACATGGTACCAATAAAGGAAAAAAAACACAAAGCACCAGGAGCTCACCTTCAAGAAATTAGATTCATGAACTACTAGACAAATAATTCAAACTGACATCACAAATACAAAATATTATTTAAAAATATGAACAATTATACACCAACAAACTGGGCAACCTAGAAGAAACAGATTCCTAGACAACCACCCAGGCTGAACCACAAAGAAACCAAAGATTTCAATAAACTAAGACGGAAATACATATAAAGAAAAGCCCATTCCTGATGCCTCCAAAATGTACACTACTAATCATTTCAAAAAAACTTAGTATCATTCTTAAACTCTTCCAAAAAACTCAAGAGGGCATTCTTCCAAATTATTTTATTAGGCCAGCATTATCCTGATACAAAAGCCAGACAAAAAGGAAACCTTGATAAAGATACAAAAATCCTCAACAAAATATTCAAAAATTGAAGCTAGCAACGTGACAAAATGACGTTTATTCCAGGGATGCAAGTACAACTCACATACATAAATTATCATTGTACCTGATTTGAAAACACACCACAAATCTACAGGGATCAACAACCCATGGTACTGACAGAAATACAGACATATCAACCAATCAAACAGAATAGAGTGTCAAAACAAATCCATGCAAAGACACTGTCATACCTTGGTACTCAACTGCTTTGAAATTCCTCAAATTTGGGACTCAATACATCCAAATACCTCTATTTTTGCTAGCCAGAAAAATCTGTTTGGCACTCATCATTTTTGGTATTCATTTTTGGCCTCCTGGAACCAATTTAATGTACTTAAACATGGTATCACTGTAACTGATTTTCAATAAAGATGTCAAGAATACACAAGAGGGAAAGGACAGTCTCTTCAGTAACTGGTACTGGAAAAACTGAATATATACAAGTGGAAAATGAAGCAATCTTTATCTCATAAAATATATTAAAAATAAGTTCAAAATGGGTTAAAGACCTCAAACATGTAAAATATAATAGTAGGAAAAAAACAGAAGAAAAGGCCCACAATATTATTCTAGACAATCATTTTTTTCAACAGGACTCTAAAAGCACAGGCAACAAAAGTAAACAGCAAACTAAAAAACTTCTGCACAGTGAAGGAAAAGTCAAGACTCCCACATAATGGGAAGAAGTATCTGCAAACCACACATCTAGTAAGAGTCCATTACTTAAAACACAAAACAAACTCAACTCATAAAAAAGAAATCAATACAATTAAAACATGGGCAAAGGACAAGAATATTTCCTCAAAAGACAGCGACAACCAGTATAGAGCCTCAAAAGATGCTCATCACTAATCATCCAGGAAATGATAATCAAAACCATCATCAGATGTCACCTGACACATGATAAGGTGGCTAAACAGCAAACGTAACTTGGAGATAGCTGCAAGTGTTACCGGGAATGTACATTAGGAACACTGTCATGCAAAATGATATGGCTGTTCAAACAAAAAACCAAAATGACCATATAACCCACCAATTCCTCTAGCTGGAATATATGTAAAAATGTTAGTATCAATATGCCAAAAAAAAAAAAAAACCCTGCATCCCCATGTTCATTACAGCATTATTCAGAACAGCCAAGACATGAAGTCAACCCAATTATCTACCTGCATAGACAATCAGTACAGAAAATGCAATACAAATACATTTGTGCACCATTCAGCTTTTAAAAAGGATATTCTGTTAATAAGAATGAATAGGGAGGATAGGTAAGGAATGGGGAGGTACTTTCCAGAAGTTATACATTTCCTGTTATACAGGAAAAAAGAACTTTTGAGATGTACTGCATACCATGGCAAATGCAGTTAACAGGAATATATATTTCAAGACTGCTAAGAATAAATTTCAAATGCTTTACCACCCAAAAAAATTAATGGATGTGTTCATCTGCTTGTTTTGATAATGCCACATTTATTTATACTGTGCATCAAAACACTGCATGGTGACCCATAAATACATACAACTAAGATTTGCCAATTAACAATAAAAAATATTTAACTTACCTTCTGTGTCCTCAGTCATATCAAGTTTAAGTGCTTTTGTTCCATCAAAACAAAACGCTTTGATGGAATTCAATCCTAATAATAAAGCATTCTGCTTTATTTTTTCTACTTTGTTGGCTATTTTATCCAATGCTATTACTTCTCCCTAAAGAAAATAAAATTTAAAAAACAAAGTATAAATCCAAAGCAGCCATAAAAATACAAAATTAGCTTGTGAAAAGTTTCCACCCATTTGTACGTTTCAAGCTGGACTGCGTAGCCAAATATATGTATCAAATTTACAGCAAATACTGAGGTCCTTCCTTTAAAGAATTATTTTTTTGGGGGGGTTGTTTTTATATCTTAGGGAAGGGTCTACAGGGTGTTCAGGGTCTCACTACTACATTGGACTCGTCTATAAAAGTATTCTTATCAGGTAATTAATCGTCTTACAGCTTGCTCCTTTACTCAAAAGGAATCAAAACTACAAAAAGTGTTTGTAGTCTACTCCAACTTAAAAAGCACCTATTAAAAGCCAACATTAAAATCACCTATCTGATACGACTGCTTACCTGCAGAAGTACATGAACTAATGCCAGGAGACATCTGACCCAAGCCACCTTTTTAGGCAAACGAAGGCCATTTATAAAATCAGTCCTCTTTCAATATATTGAGCTATTTATGTAAAATTTCCTGTGAGTCCTAGCAATTAAAGCCAGAAAAACAGAAGCCAAAAACCTGCATATCACAGCCAAATATTTTGGAATAATATTAAAATACAGCCTAAAAAAAAAATCACCATATCTGATAAACATGTCAGATAAATCAAAACAATCTAGGCATGCACTGTTGACATGTATATGATACTTTAAATATACAATGACACAGTATTATAAAATACAATAGTAGATGGATTTTTTTTTTCTAGCTTTGGTTCCATGTGTGTGCATATATATCATCCTCATAGGTATGTACATCAAATATTTTGCTACACAAGAGAAATAAATTTAAGGCATAGCCTACAATAAAGAACATTTGCTAGTAAGGCTCCCCGACTGTTAACAGACACTGAGTGGGGCTCAGTCTTGTCATTCGTTTGGCCATCGGGACCATGGTCAATGTGATGCAAGCAGAGTACTCCGCTTTTCTCTTGGCTATCACCAGATCCTAACTACGGCCCTATGCCAGGCTCACACTCTCATTCTAGCACACCAAACACCAGAAAGGCAGAGCATCGTCATAGTTGCCTTAGCTGAAGTCACTTTAGAAAAGGGAAAGCCATATAAACACAAGTGAAACCCAACATTACCAGAACCACCCAACGAAGCTACAGCTGACCAGGAGCACAGCAGGCGTAGGAGGCATCAGCTGAATCACAGACCCCTGAGCCAAACCATCGCTTGTGTGTACACCACCAAGGTTATATTTTTACACTACACGACAAAGCCAACTGGCTGGCAAGACTTCTTACTAGAGAAAACAAAAGACTTGAAGGAACTAGAACAAATTCACCATAGAGGGTGATAATCACCACTTTCTCAAAGCATATCACAATCTACATTTAAGCTTCCAAAGACTGAAAAAGGAACTGTATTGAACAACACGACTATAAAATGAACCTCTGTATTTCATGTGCCTCATTTCACTATGAATTTAAGGCACTTTTCTTCGAGAGTTTTTCCTGCTACTATTTCAATTCTTGAAGAATACTTTCTCTGTATTTCTTACCATGTAATACCAAGTGTACTGTCTTCTCAAAATTTAAATAAGTATCCTTTTCTATTGAAGAGATTTCTTAAAATAATGAAGCCTAGGGCCAGCGAGATAGCTCAGAGGACTAAGCACCTGCTCTGGCAAGTGCCGGAAATGGGGTTCAATCTCCCGGGGTGCACTAAGCCAGCAACTGAGTCTAGGTGTGGTGGTACACACCTGTAATCCCAGGGCTGAGGAGGCTGAAACAGGAGGATCACTACCAGTCTAAGTGTGTAGTGAGACCCAGTACCAAATACATAAATGAAAGAAAAAAAAAAAAATGAAGCCTTCTTGTTGAGGTTGTATTAGTGCTACTGAAATTGTGCGTGTAGTGAACATATATAGTATGTATATGCACAGTGAATGTGTATATGACACAAAGATCGTACTCTTGGGCCTTCAATTTATTTAGCGAAAATATTCTTTAAAAAAAAAAAAAAAAAAGGAGGGCCCAGGGAGATAGCTCAGTAGAATAAGCGCTTTCCTGGCAATTGCAGGGTTCTGAGTTCAATCCCTGGTACCGCAAAAAAGAAAATATTCTTTAAATATATACATATCTTTATCACCTTTGCTTGTAATACTCAATGTTTCACAAATTCTAATAGTTAAAGTTATATCTTAAAGTGTAATGAGAAATTTCATCAAAAATATATGGATCGGGGGCTGGGGAGATGGCTCAGTGGAATAAACACTTCCCTGGCAAGCGCAAGGACCTGAGTTCAATCCCTGGTTCCGCAAAAAAAAAAAAAAAAAAAAAAAAAAAAAAGGATAATTAATATACTAATAAAAGAAAATCCTGACCACCTAAGCCCATTCCTACCCGATGATCTTGCTTCCCATTTCACTGAGAAAACCAAGAACTGTCTTTTACCATGCCTACCAGCTCATTAACATCTGCATCCATGGACTCAGCCATCCCTCTTATTTCCACAGATTGCTGACTCATGTTAATATCTAATGCCACTTGCACATCAAATATAGCCCACTGCATTTACTCAAAGACATTCCAGCAATTATCCCCTTTGTCACTGGTATGGCCACATTTCTCTTTAATGTATAACTCTCATTAGCAAACATGTTTCTATTTATTTGTATATGTAATACAAAACATAGTCTTCATAGGAGACAGGTACATACACAAAACACATCTCAATCCTTTTTATCTTCCTTTTCCCTTATCCCCATTTGTATTTCATCCATCTCTTTATGTTCTTTATTCTTTTCTATACTCATCTATAGTACATAATGTTTACACTTCTTGTGAGAAGTTGGGACATGTACAGAGTACATCCTAATTACTTTTCCCATGGCCTTTCCCTCTCTTACTTCAAAACTGGGTTCCCTTCTCCTTTGAGAAAGTTCTATTACACTGTTATTTCTCACCTTAAAACCACACATACCTCCTGAGCCCCACATTGTCCAATTCTGTTTTCTAGGTATCACTCACCCCCAATACAAGCTGTCTTCCTTCACTCTTCGAGTCTTCTCATTCTCCATCATGCATCTAAATTCATCAAGGACCTTTAACGTATTGCTAAATCCAGTGTGGGATTTCAGTCCTCTTCTTACTTGGTTTGTCAACATTTGACAAGGGGCCTCCCCACCTTTTCAACCCCTTCCTCACATGACTTCCAGCTAGTCAAATTCTTCTGTTTTGCTCCCATGGTGACTGTGATTCCTTCTCATTTCTCCAACCTGTGAATGCTGGTACTACTTAGGAGGCTCACTCTCCAGCTCTTCTACCCTCTTCTCCATCAGCTTATATGTATGCTGATGACTCTCAAACTGTTATCTCTAACTCCGACCTTTCCCCTAGATTCTTGACTCAGTCTATGGCCTGCTCATCTAGGACTGAACGCAGGACCAAGAACACTAGGCAAGCAAAGTACCATGGAGCACACCCTGAACCCTGCAATGATTTCTGAATACAGAGAAATCTAGCCTATAATAAAAAAACAACTTAGCAAATATAAACACAAAGGAAAATAAAGAAAAATGGAAACTAAGTTACCAAATGTCAGACTTACTGAAATTCTGTGCACATGAAGCAGACTTTAAAATAAAGTCAAATCTTGAAGTTTATATGATTCTTAAGAGAGACACATGTTCTATAGACAGACATGTGTATATATTATCTACATATGTGATACATTACCTGGGCTACCTATTGAGTTCAAAATGAGCCTGGACTACATAGTTAGACCCTGTCTCAAAAATATAATAATATAAAATAAAATAAAGTAAAATGAGCCTTATGGCAGTCTTTATAAATGGCAATTACGTTACTTCTTTTTTTTGAGACAGGGTCTTGCTATGTAGCCCAGAATTTATAGTCATCCACCTACCTCAGCCTCCTGAGTACTGGGATTACAGGTGTGTGCCACTGTGCAAATGGCAAATGTCTACTGAACTTAAGATACAGTGACTGAGATAACTCGACAGTCCTCACTTTGGCTTAGTATAAAATAAATAGGATTATAATGAGTATGTTTCTTGAGCAACATATAGTTCCACCTTCACCAATGAAATATATAATATACTGACAGTACTTTTCTTTGGAAGACATTCACCTGATCATGCATTAGTGCTGCAATATGTGTTGTTTTACCTCCAGGTGCTGCACACAAATCTAGAATCTTCTCTCCAGGTTGAGGATTCAGAACATGAGTTACTACAACAGATGGTAAATTCTGTAAGAAAAATGATGCAATTAATTTTCAATGACTCTAAATCAATTTTAATTTCAGAATCAGTGAAGGTAAGAAATGTTTTGAGATAACTCAGTAAAGCATCCCCAAAGCTGCTAAGCATAGTTTTTATAAATATGCTAATCTCAAGAAATCTACAATTTCTAGGGGCTGGTAAGATGGCTCAGTGGTCTAAAGCACCTACTTAGAACAAGCTTAGCAAAGCACAGGGACAGTGGTTCAATCCCCCAGCACCACATGCCAGCCAGCCCCGACCCCTGGTGGGCTGAGCTGGCCACACACCCACAAATAAATAAATAAATAAATAGGAAATCTACAATTTCCTATAGCATACTATGAGCTCATGAGACTTATATAACACATCCATCCATGAAAACACACAACACATTTTCTACTCAATTCATTCAATAGTCAACTGATGGCAATTTTCTATAGCCAATTTATCGTCATCTTCTACATTAGTTCTCAATCCTGGTTACAAAATAAAATTACGTGATGAGGTGCCCAGAAGATGGCTTAGTAGAATAACCACTTGCCTGGCAAGCACAAGAGCCTGAGTTCAACCCCTGGTTCCACAAAAAATAAAATAAAATAAAATCACCTGATGAGATTGGCCCAAAAAAAAGAAAAAAAGAATCTGGTCCTCATACAGAAAAATTAGGTGAGGATTTCCAATAGGGTTAAGAGTGGTGTTTTAAAAATCTTCCCTAATGATTCTAACCATCTCCAACCTAGTGTGTCTTCAATTTATATGCACAATCACCCCACAAAGTGTCTCAGTATCCTAACCTAAGAACTGAAACCATGTCAAATGACACAAGGATTCATTTAGTGTCCCTCCGATGGTCCACCCTCATCTCACCCTTAAATCAATTGTTTACGAGAAAAAAAGCAGTTAGAGAGTTATTTTTTCTTGCATTTAAAGTAGAATAAAATGACAGAGTACACTGTCAGCCAGAAATGACCTATACATCTTGAAAACTGGCAATAAGAAAAAATTCTAAGTATAGTCATGATCCAGACTTCCTTGAGTTTTTAGTCCCCACACTTCCTGAGAAAAGCACATTATCACGCCCCCTTGCAAATTCCCCCTCCTGCTCATCTCACACCTGATGGTCCCAGTTTCATACCTTGGGGGCTAGTCCCAAGTAAAGCTGTGGTAGTCCTGTTGACCAGCTAGGTCTCATTTACTTGTATCTGTATTGTGGCATTTGATTCCCTTGAGGGATTTTGGTTGTTGTGCTGGTTTAAATCAGATGGACAAACTCTTGCTCCTAGCCACAGGGCAGAGACACTGATTGTAAAGGAAGCTGTATTAATTGCTACATCCTAGACTTTGCTCAAATTCTTTTTAAAAAAATAACAAACAAAAAACAGTGGACCTTATTGTAGCTGCCATCTCTGGGTAGTGCCCACCCTCCTTCTTGAGAGTGTATTTAATATCTGACCTATAAAATTAGCCTTGTTTAGGATGTACTATACTTGTGTTTGAATAAACATGCTTGCTACAAACTACTCCCTTTTTTTCCCCCATAATTTTATTGAGAAACAAATAGCAGTGAGACAGTTTCAAATCAAATTGGTAGGACAGTTCCAACAATTAACACATTGCATACTCTCTTCCTAGTGGTTAATTGCTACACAAGATGCGGACATGATGTCCTATTTACTATTAGAACAAATTCCTCTATTCATTAAGAGAATGTAACTATATGTCCATTCTAACCATTTTGAATACACAGATACAAAATGGACATTCATCCGTATCCCTTTTTTGTTTAGTTCTGTTATTTGAATATTATAGGTTTGTTAACTCAACAAAATATTCTAAAAGAGTCCAGCAGTCCATAATAGTACTGGGGCTTCCACTTCACTGGCAATATCAGAAACTGTTGACCTGAGTCCCCGACAGCTCAACATAACAGCATGGCTTTACTTCTTATACTTCGTTTTTAAACTTTTCTGCTGGATGGTTAAGACCAAGGTAAAGCAAGACCTATGCAACAAGAGTTCAAACTACTCCCTTTTGACTCTGTACAGTGCTGTGGACTCTCCACTAATCTCTTCAGGGAGGATTCCAGAGCCCTGTCCACCACACCACCCAAAGCACTACAGGCTGACTCCAACTTTTCAGCAGTAATAATTCTGAAAACAGCTGTTACAAATACTTAAGCCTCTGTCTCATTATTACTTTCATTGTGAAAGGCATCTAAGATTTTCTTAATTCTCAGGACTATGTTTAAGCTTTGCTTGCTTGCTTGTTTGTTTGTATGTTAGAGAAGGGTCTACAGGGTGTTCAGGGTCTCACTACTAGATCGGACACCTAGTGATCTGCCTGTTTACAGCCTTCCAAGAGCTGAGATTACAGGTGTATGCCACCACACCCAGCTGCCAGCTCAGTGTGCACAGGGGGTGGGATCGGAGTGGCAGGCCCTGGGATGGAAACCCTGGTCCCTTGCTGGTGCTTTAATCTGCTGGCTCTGTATTTAAGCTTTCTAAGTTTTCCTTCTGATTTTTTAAAAGATCCAAGTAAGGGCTGGGAAGATAGCTCAGCGGCTTAAGTGTCTGCCTGGCAATTATAAGGTCCTGAGTTTGATCCCCAGTCCCCAAAAATAAAGAATAAATTAAAAAAGATCTAAATGATACTACGGCTTAATGAATTTTCATAACTATGTACAACACTTAATATTGTATATTAAGTTTATACAATATATCTCTGGGTAGCTTCAAGTGCTAAGAATAAAATAATCTGTTTCACTAGACCCTCACCATGCCCTTTGTTCCTGACTGAAAAAAGTCTCAATGTGAAGCTTTTGGACCAGCTGTTGAAAGCAACAAAGATACAGATTTCCAGGGATAATTGTTTTTCAGGGAAAGGCAAGGGAAAAACACATTAAAAAAGAAAAAATAACCACAAAAGCAAATTTCCTTGAGATTTTCTCACTTCTGTACAACAGCTTCAGTAATCACAATGAAGAAAAGAGACCTATTAACTACTAACTCCTGTGTCTATCAGCGTTTCTTCAAAGTGTAACTTCCTTTCCACAAGTTCACTGGTAAATGAACATCATCCATGAAACGATCAGTTTTCATAAGCTATAAGCTAGTTCAAGGGGTCAAGAACAGTGGGAGGGGAAGGGAAGGAAGGGAAGGGGGTGAAAAGTAATTATGAGTGCTAGGTATGCGCACCAACTCCACTAGGAAACGTAAACACTGTGTACTGCAAACAGGTAGTAACAAAAATTAAAGCACACAAAAACACACAAAACTAACAAAAAACAGTAGCATGCATTACTAAAAATGTCATCTTGTATGAACATACAGTTCACCATTGGAACTTCTTAATATATATTTTTAAAGATACTCTGAAAGCTGCCAAGGAAAGTGTACTGGTTGATACATTGTGTTAACTTGGCTGGTGGGGGTCCCGCCCTGAGGCACATTTGGTTCAGTCCCAAAGTGACTCAGCACAAAGAGGCATCGGCTCGCAGTGCACTCTTTGGCCTCCCGCCTGGATCCTTCATCTTCCCTCACAGATTCGTCAGCGTCCATCACAGACTCTTCAGTCTTCCCTCGCAGACCTATTAGCTGATGAATAGAGACTTGCACAGAGCACAGCAGTGAGTTTCAGACCTTGGGACTGAACTCCTCAGTCTGGAGTGTGCAGACGCCCTCTGCACATTTCCTCATCTGACTCTGCGGCTGACTGTCGTAAACCAATCTTGTAATTCCTTATACACTGTATATCTTGTGTCAATATCTGTTCCTTATATTATACCTGTTCCTCTAAGTAAAACCCTGACCAATATAGAAAGCTACCAAAGAAAGCTGCTCATGGTAATACACGCCTGTAATCTTAGCATTCTGCAAGCCTGAAGCAAGGAGGACCCAAACATGCAATTCTATTGTGGGGGGCAAATGGTAATTTAGCAAGACTTTGTCTTAAAATAAAAAGGGAGGCAGGTGTGGTAGCACAGGCCTGTAATCCAGCACAAGACAAGCTGAGGCAGGAGAATCAGCAGTTCAAGGTCAGCCTGAACTACAAAGCAAGACCCTGGCTCAAAAAACGAAAGAAAGAAAGAAAGAAAGAAAGAAAGAAAGAAAGAAAGAAAGAAAGAAAGAAAGAAAGAAAGAAAGAAAGGCAGGCAGGCAGGCAGGCAGG